AGTGAGACCTCGGCTGCCCTCGCATCTCACTCTTTCTTTTCTGCCAATCACAAAGTCGTATTTTGATTCGGGACCCGGGCCGATAAAAGCTCAACACAATCCATTCATTAGATTTTATCGGCCGAATATCAACTCTCACGGTGTTTCATCGGCCCAGCGGCCGATAAATTCTCAACACTCAGATTGCAGGGTATAGAGAATTCAGGTTGTTTCATGACGAGCTACGTTGTTGAGAATTTGTCGGCCACGTGGCCGAGAGGAAACCCACCAATATGATTGGTTGATATTACACCAGCAGAAAAACTGACATTTCAACATGACCGACCGTCAGGAGACGACCCTCGACGACATCCGCAACTCCAGGCTTTCGAACGCCACTAAGCTCTCCTACGCAAGCGGTATGCGGAGGATCTACGATTGGATCAACACCCTCAGTCAAATGGAGCGCGACCGCATGCTCAGCAGTGACGGCACCATAAGTATTGTTGGCTTCACCTACCATGACTTCCCCGCTTTTATTGTGCTTACCCTCAGTGCACGTGATATTAAGGTGGCCACAATGTCAGGCTACCGATCGGCCATCAAAGACTACTACAAGCAACACAACACTGCGCTGCCAAGTGGATACGACACTGACATGAAAGATCTTTTTCAAGGTGTTGAACTTGTATAACATGATTGGATTTGAATTGACACCACAAGTTAGGCATGCATCGCCTAAAGGCGACCGCAGAGCAGTCAAGCTCTATCAAGGACTCGGGCAAACGACACCTTAAGTTTGGACACTACCAAGCGCTGGCATTAGCGTCTGTGAAGGCGAATGACGGTGGCTTTCAACACCTCTTTTTGGTGCTTTCGTGGAACCTGATGGCTCGATCTAAGTCCACGGAAACCGTTCAACTGGACCATCTTACCTTGGAAGGTGATGCCCTTGGCGTCACGTTCTATAAGACGAAGACTGACCAGACCGGCAGCAAACGTCGCGACCCCAAGCACTTGTACGCCAACCCCCTTAACCCGTCCATCTGTGTGTTTTTGGCATTTGCTATCCATTTTGCCTCAAACGTGTGCCTGACTGATGGGCCCTTGTTCGTTGGGTCCAACCAAAGGACTCGGTTTGGTAAAGGCCTTCGTTCTATTGTCAAGTCAGGTGAGCTCGGTACGACAGAAGATATTGGCACCCACTCGGTTCGCAAGGGTGCAGCAACGTACGTTTGCTCGGGCAGCACAGCCGGACCCTCCATCATCAGCGTGTGTTTACGGTGTGGCTGGTCCTTGGGAAACGTCGTTGAACGGTACATGCACTATGAAAAAGCCGGGGATCAGTTTGTCGGTCGCACAGTTGCTGGCCTGCCGTTGAACAAGGCGGACTTTGCTGTGCTGCCACCCCACTTTACGTCCAACTCGGACGCCACCGTCGACGACACGGTGATGCTGCTGTTCCCCGTACTCTCGGCAGTGCCCAAGTTTGTCCCCATGCTGCGCCTCTTTCTCGCGTCTCTCGTCCAGCACTCGGGGTGGCTGAAGAGCCACCTTCCGCCGAAGCACGCGCTGCTGCACACAGCACTGTTTGCCGACCCCAGCCGCTTGGAACGGCTCGTTCCACTTGTCGCAACAGCGTCCACACTGATGCAGCCAACCGGCCTTCCCCCGTACGTTGAGATCTTTAGCCTTATGGAGGCCAGCAAAACCTCTGTCGACGCCGTCAAAACGTCCATCGACAACATCGCTCCAAGCGTGATTGCGGGGGTCCAGGGCTTGCTGGACGATCGCGACTTTGCTTCTGGGGTGTTGACCCCCGCACACTTGCACTCAACCCTAGAGACCACGGTTACCCGGTTCGAAGCCTCTATGAGGTCGATCGTTGGCTACCCCGTCCCTGCCCAACCCCTCTCCGCTGAAGCGTCGACCACTCCCTCCCATGCGATTGTTCGGCAACTGTACACGTGGGGGGGCGGGATGCATCGGGTTCCCGAAGCCTTTTCGATGCCGCTGGTCGACACAGCCACAGCTTGGTCCCTATGGTGGGGCTCCATCAACAACACTGTTCCGTACAGGTCACTTACCCCATCGGATCTGGCAGCCAAGAACGACAAGCGAATCTTGTCAGAGTGGCTGCTTGTGATGTCGTTTTTGACTGCTGCCTACAGGGAAGCCATGGGTACATGTTTGCCAAGTGACCCAACTGCCTTGCAGATATCACAGGCTTACCAGGTTGCAGTTGTACCGCTTCGTGCACTGCTGTCGACGACTCCGAAGGGTCGTGATCGACGGTTTGATCATGCCAAAGTAGTTACTGTTGCCCAATTGCTTCGTCAACATCACGATGCACCTTTAGCTGGTAGAGTTAGAAAGCGTCAACGTACTTAGTCAATTTCCTCTCTCGTGTCATCAGTCTTTCCAACACCGTGGGTTTTACATTGTTTCGAAGTGGGGTCGACTTGAT